CTTTAAAAAGCCCAAATCTCTACTGCACAAAATGAAATAGAGCTCAGCTCTTTCACCTACTGTCAGTAGTTACTGAATAAAATCTGTTTTCACAGCTTCAACTAATGTCCAACTGTGTGTATCTTTGGCACCTCTATGTGGGAGAAACCCTCATTCACGGGGCTCACCTCTAACCCCATGCAAACAGAGTTCTGGATGGGATCCAGGAGTTCCCCATTTGCCTCTCCTCTTCCAAGGCTGCATGTAGCACAGCCTGCTAGGAATATGAATGAAGAAAGCCTCCTACTACATAGCTAAAATTTCTTTTTTTTAATTATTTAAATTTCAATAATAAGATGTATATGTTTGGGCACATGAGCATGTACCTTTGACAAGACATGCTGAGCTCTTATGAATTTCCACTTTAACATGACTTTGTTCAATTTGCTAGTTTTCATACACCTAACCAGACAAAATGAGGGGAGAGGGGCTTTTATCAAGGTCAGAGGCAATAAGGAGGAAGGGAGAAAATGACTTGGGAACATGGGGCACCCGGGGGAGATGTCCATAGTCATGTAGAGAGACTCTAGAGAAGACAAACTCCCCTCAGTTCGTCCCCTCCCTTAGGTGAGAATGGAAGAAAAATTGGCTGAGAAGTATAAAAGATGGAAACTTAAGAGGATATGGAAGGTAACTTAATTACTTTATTCCTTTTTTCACTTTTTTTTCATTTGGCTCAGTCCTGCTCTTTACCTTCCTTTCAAAAACCTAAAGTAAAATGCCTCTGTACTGTACTCTCTTTACCCTGCTCCCAGCCAAGGAAAGCTACTTATTGTTTTACTTCTCTTCCAATTATTTTGGCCTTGGGAAAATGTAAATCAAAGGAGGAGGGCAAGAATTAGTCACTTAGTATCTTTGGGTCTTGGTTTAACCATGAGAGTTTTGGACTGAATTCATAATTCAACAAATATTTATTGAATGAGTACTATGTGCAGACTACTATCTATTTGCTATGGAAACATTATATTACCCTTATGTAGCTTATATTCTAGTGAAAGAGATGTTAAATTAATTAATTAATTAAAGTATAACATAAATAAGATAGAAAATCTAATGGGCAGTATCTTATATGGCTGTCAGATCAGACTTCACTGAGAAGGTGCCAGTCTCTGTCCCAAGTATTTTTCTTATATTCATTTAATTTTATTTATTATTTTACAGATGCTGAAACTGAGGCACAAAGTAGTTAAATAATGTGAGTATATCACATTACTATATTATAGTATTTGAACTTGAACCTAGACAGTCTGGTTACAAGTTCCTTGCCTTTAACCACTAGTCTCTATTTATTACCATTTTCCATTAGAATTACTTATTACCATTAGAATTACTCTGAAGTGTGAGGAAAGACTCTGGAGCAAGAATTTAAGCAGGGAGGCCATTGAAGGGAGAAAGAACAGTGACTGAACTATGGTGGATGTGGTAGAGAAGAGAAATACTGGTCATATTTGGGATCTGTTTTGAATGTGCAGGACACAGAAGGTTTGCTCATGGGTTGCATATGAGCACAAGAGGACTTCATCATGAATACCACTTTTTGGCCTGAGCAACTGGAAAAAAGATGGTGTTTCTTAAAAAGCTTGGAAAACTGGGGGAAGAGGTGAATTGGTGAGGGGTAGAAATACAGTTTGTTTTGAAAATGTAAGCTTTGAAATGCACATGAAACCTCTAAAAAGAGATATAAAAGAGTCAATAATCTGGGGGTTTGGATGGTAGATTTAAATTTGAGGTCATTATCCTGTGGATGTCTGAGAAAGCTCTGTGTCCTGATGAGATTCCCTAGGGAGGGAATATAAACGTGCCAAGGATTGAGCTCTGGGATATTCTAACCATCAGAGATCATGAAAGGGATTCAACAAAATAGGAGCCAGAGATTAAATTGATGGCAAACAGGGAGTCAAAGAAGGGAGTTTGAAGAAGAAATGGATCAACTGTGTCTAATGCTGCTAATAGGTCAAGATGAAGATTGAGAATTGACCATTAAAATTTGGCAAAGTGGAGGTCATTAGATGCCTTGATTATGGGTGGAGTGTTAGGGATAAATGCCTGGTTGGACTAAGTTCAAAGGACTAGAAAAATTCTGAGGCCCTCCTATAGCTATGACACAATGATTAAAGATAACCTGAAAAGAGACATGGAGGATAGAAGTAAAAAGAAGAAGAGAGTAATAATGCATTTCAGAATACTTCAAACTATTTCAAAATATGTTATTGAACATCTTCTATGCATCCAGCTCTGTTAGGTGAATTTTAAACCATTTTTCTTATTTATTACAATAACATTTTGATATTAAGCAAATTTATAAAGAAAAAAAGTCTATACTACCTTAATCCTAGTACATGAACGTTTTACACATTCATTTCAATCACTCTCTTTCTGTTTCCATAATTTTATACAGTTTTATTAATGGCATTATAAGCCTTTTCCTTTGTAGACATATATTAACAACATATTAATTATGACAGTGAATACTTTATTATGTGAATATATAGCACTGGTTATGTAATCATTTTTATTCCCAAACATTTATGTTGTCTTCAAATTATAATACAATACTATGATTATTCACCTCTATGCCTGTCATCCTCACTAAGCTATGATTAGCTTCTCAATGTCCAGGACTATGCCTGGTTCAGTTCTGAATCACCAGCATGTGTCCGACAAAGAGTGACTTCTAGGAAGCACAGGAGACGGTACAGTGACATAGTGCAGGCCAAGATGACCTAGAGCCTCAGTTCTCATTTTGCATTCTCCAGTGGTAGACTTGTGGCCATGGGCAAGATACGACTTCTCTATATCCCATCTATAAATTGAAGCTAATAACAGTACTGTATAAATTATTGAGAGAATTAAATGAATGAATATGTGCAATGTGACCACTACATTGTAAGCACACATATGTACAGTGCTTGATAAGCGTTTTATATAACAAAAAATTGATGCCCTGAATACGTTTAATGAATGAATTATAAATCAAAAAAGTTTTATTTTTGCTTTACACAGGTAACTTTTAAAATTCTTTTGGATATATGAGGTCCCCCTCCAAAAAAACGGAATTACCATCTGGAGGGTGGGCCCCTTGTAGTACAGGCTTCCCCCACTAGGTGAGTGCTCTAGGAACCCATCTGTGTCAGTGTACCAGCTGGCACTGCTGTGAGAGGCTGTGTTCAGCTTCAGTGAATTTCTTTTTCAAAGGCCTTTTAAAGGCATCTGCCCATTTCATGATGGGTGATTTACAAGCGCACCTGCCCACACTGTGCTGAGTGCTCAGCAGTTTTTGACCAAAAATGGCATGACCCCCTGGTGTCCTAGCTTTCCTATTCACCAGATCTTTCCTCAAGAGACTTTTTTTTGTTTCCCTTATGAAAAAATTCCTCAAAGGAAAACGTTTTGCTGATGTAGAAGAAGTGAAACAAAAAATGACAGAAGCCCTAAGAGTCATCAAAATCGATGAGTTCAAAAGCTCTTTTGAGCAGTGGAAAAATGTCTCAACAGGTATATTGTATCAAATGGAGGGTACTTTGAAAGCGGCTGAAATGTAAACATATAAGAATAAATACACATTTTTTAATAAATAAATTGTGTTTTTTGCCCCCCCCCCTTATATATATTTGGATTCAGTAATGATGTTGTGAACATGTACTCTGTGCCAGGTATCTGGAGACAAATAATAATTTCTTCAAATTAATTTTCACAAGTGATATCAATAAATGAAATAAAATGAACATTTCTAATGCCTTGATTATAGCGTTACTTGCTCTGGGGAGTAAGCTTCTTGAGGTCAGGGCTAGTGTCTTGCTTTCCCACAGCTGTCTATCCTTACAAGGTACACAGGGTCTGCCACCCTCTGGTTCCCCAGACGTTTTTCTTTGTCCGTGTCTTTTTCTGTTTTCCCCTCCTCCTCCTCCTTTTCCTTCTTCATTGCTTTCTCTGGATTTCATTTTTTTGATAAATAAATTAATAATGTTCAATTAGGTAATGCTAAAAGCGGAAGAAAAATCAAGGAGATGGTGGTGGGGAAGGCATATGCAAAGAGACAAGTCAACTTGGTTGATTGCCTTTGTTAGGGATTTCAGGAATGGGGTCAGGCATAAAAGGCCTTGTCTATCATAAAGAGGCTGTGATGGACTACTAACAGGAAACAAGAAAGGTTTGTGAATAACGGAGTTCACTTAATGAAGGTCTTTATAATGCTTCTCAGGATGGTTGTACAGACGACCATTTAGAATGGGAGAAGGTGTTCGAGGGCTCTCGTAGAAACCTGGAGAAATGCAAATGAATGCAAAGGAAATGATTCTTTTGAGATTAATTCCTTCCACAATGATTATTTTGTTCATTCATCACTCAACATATGAACCCAGTGCCCGCTTCGGGCCAGGCACTGGGCTAGGCACTGGGAATGTACAACAGCAGATTCAGTCCTGCTGCCATGACCAGTTGTTTGTTCCTGCACTGTCACCTGCAGTAGAGCAAGAGCTCCGGACCACCGAGATCAGTCTGTTACTTCCTGTCACGGTCTGCGCTTGGCACTTGGTGGGCACACAAATTCTATAGCCTAAATTGATGTGCAGCCTTGGTGCAGCACAACTAAATGCACAGAGCCAAGAAGAAAAGGCCGGGTGGCATCTATCTTGCATTGTGAGACCACAATCTTTCAGTGAGCCCATGTGTGCGTGTACGTGTAGAATCGGGGGCATATCTTCCCAGAGCCCCTGGCAGAGTACCAAGCTGCAGGACCAACCCTCTCTTTCCCTTGCGCGCTCCAGCCAGCCCAGGAGGTGGCAGGGTGCCAAATGGAACGCGGCCGAGCTCAGCCTCGCTTCCGTCCGCAGACCCGCCCCACGCGGCTCCTCCTTGCCACTGGCGGGGCCGCCCACGGTGACGCCCCGTGGCCGCAGCTCCGGGAAGCCAAAAGCGCGGGTGGCTGGCGAACTCAGGCGGCGGGTGGAGCCAGAGCCGCTCCGCCGCGGCCAATCGCGCCACGACGGGGGAGGAGCCCCAAAGGGGGAAAAAAGAAAGTGCAGCGGAAAGTAAGAGGCTCATTGGGCAACGACTGTCCGGATCACGGTCCCTAGGGCTCCGCTTTGACCAGACGCAGGGAAAGAAGCAGCGCTGGGCTAGTCGGCATCCATTCTCGCTGCTTTCGCTGCGCCCACTCTGTCTCTCAAGAAAGGTGAGTCTCGCGCTGTCAAGGAGGTCTTGGAAGAATCACCGAGCTGCAAAATCTCAGAGTAGAAGGATTCTTACAAAAGGACTCCTTCAGTCCCACCCCCATCCCCGAAAGCAAACTGAGGCACAGAGTAAGGCAGTGCCTGGGATAGATCACAAAGCTAGTAATTGCTGTGGCCAGGACTCGAAACTGACTGTCCAGAGCCCCATCTTCGCTTTGCAGGGATTTAAGTCACGCAGTTGTGGGACGGCTGCGGGTTGCTGCACCGTACTTTCAGCCCTTTAAGGGGTCTTTCCTGGTACATTCCCGCCTTGGTTTCCCCAGAGCACTGCTGTAAGCAGCGAGGATAGATGAGGGCAGTGTGTCCCAGTCTGTCCAACGTTGCTCCCAACCTGGAGCTGTGACAGCCTTCACGCCCTCTTCCCCTGACCTGCTTTCTCAGAACGATGCTCCGTACGAGGGTGTCTGTCAGACTCCTGGTGGAGGGGTGGAGAGGTGAGGGGCGCCCGGGCGTCTCTGACTCCCTGTGGTCCTCATTTCTCTCTCCAGCCCTGGGAAGAAGCGGAGCTTGTGGTCCTGTGGGGGATAGGATGCCCCTCATTTAAGAACAGCTGGCTTTATGGAGCCGTAGCCCCTCTCACTTTAGAGTACTGGGAAGGAGCAAGGAAACTGAGTTAAAGAGAAAAAAATCACAAACATAAAGGCAAACTTCTGCCGTTTAAGAGCCAGCGCCAGCCGTGGTTGTGGAATTGTGAACCACAGCGCCTCTCAGAGCGTTTTGCTGCTCTGCTCCGCAGATCCTCTGGTTAGGAGCCCGGGAGGAGGAGGGTTACCTGGCTTTGACTCTAGCTCTGAGGTGCATTAGCTGTGTGAACTTTGGGCAAGTGATCCAATCTTTCTGATACTCAGGTTTTGTGTGTGTGCATGTTATTGTTTTCTGTGTCCCCCCCCGCCCCCGCCTGAGGCGCAAGATGGAAATTATAATGGTCACAATAGGTCCTTTGGGTAGTTAGGAAGATTAAATGGGATAATTCAAATAACATGTTTATAGCTCAGTGCCTGGTCTGGCACCTGGTAGTCAGGTTGAGATTGGTGGTAACTGTTATAAATATTGTTATATAGTGATCCTGGACATGACGGGTTTTCAGAAAGGTGGTTTCGTACTACCTTAGAGTGACTTAAAAAATAATATCTGGAATGTTATAGTGTTTCCTTCTTTGGAGTTTGAACAGCTCTTTTGCTGTGAGTGTTTTTTGAATGCTCTCTACATGTGACTTTGATCGTGAATGCTTGACTTGGAATATAAAATTAATGTTTCTCAGTGATGCCAGTCTGTACTAGTTTTTAGGCCAAGCCTCAGGTCGGTGAAGCTGCGATCTGAGGCATTCTTTGTTAGCAAAGAGGGTCTGGAATTTGATGGGAGGTAGGAACACAAGAGAAGTTGAAGTTCCATTCATGTTACAGAATGTTGTAAGCCTCTTATCCCTGTTGTCTTAAGCCAGACAAGCAACTTTATATTTTTGTTAGCATAGGAAAACAGCAACAAAATTCTCATGCATTTATTCTGGATTATTTAGTGACACTGCTAAATTCAGTCCCTTCTGGACACAAACTTACCTTATTTAAATACACCCAAATATGCCTACACTTGTCTTCTTTTATTATCACAAATGAAATAGTGTCACTCCTATACCCTTACCTGCTCGTGACAATTGATTTTATTCTGATTTGACTTCATACGATGATTTTCTTCTCTCTCTTGACTATGCCATAAGTGCCCGAATTGAGCATCCAGCATTTATAGAGTTGTCTTTCTGCTTCACAGTCCCTCGTATTTGCATGTGGCATTGATGAGGTGGTGTGATACATGTTGCAGGAAGTCAAGGGCTTAGTGGTCCCCCTTGATAGGTACCTCCCGCACCTGCACGTAGCATTTGCAGAGGATGGGATCACTGCTTCCATCAGCCTGTTCTGTGTGCATGCATTATAATGAGCTGGCCAGGATACATCTGAACGCGTGCCTGAGAGACCAGGGGCTTGTGGGGAAAAGGAAAATGTTCAAAGTAAGGTCACAACAAGGGGACAGAAGGGAGATCAAACACTAATTCCTTTTGGTTCAGGTTCTTTAAAGCAAAGACACTCAGTTATACCTTTCTTCCTTATCCGGATTATATGTTACCAAAATTGTACATACATCTAACATGTTCAAAGTGTGTTCCCTATATATTATCTTCCTTGTTACTTGCAATAGCCCTGAGGAAAGGAAGGACATGGAAAGCATGTTAATAGTGGAAGGAGCCCACGTTTTGTGGTCCTATCAAGTTTCAGTTGTAGTTCCTATGTAGCTAGGAAACACTGAGCAGTTTATTTCACTATTGGGTGTCTTCTCTATTCAGATCTAAAATGGAGGGAAAAAGTTGCCCCCTGCCAGAGATTTGTGAGAGTATTAAATTAAGTGGAATAGTGTAAAGTATATGTCATGAGTAGGTGCGCATTAAATGGTGTCCCTTCTTCGCTGATCTCAATTTGTTGAGTAGGAAACTGAAATGAGATTCAAAGAAATGAGAGGTTACCAAGGGTCATGTGGTTATGAAGCTTCAGCCCTGGAAATACAGTTCAAGCACGTTGATTTCTAGTTAGAGGCTTTTCTTGTCACACCCTGTCACCTTGCCAGTGAGATCCTTAGCAATTTATTTCAATTGTTAGGTTGACCTTATTTGGCTGGTGATTGCAGAGTATCCTTTCTGTCCCAAAGAGGACATTTCTTTGCTAAGGGAACAGCCCTTAAACATGATCTGTTGAGTTTAGCAGGGCCAACTCACAGGAGAGGAAGTTTCAAAGCCATTGTCTCTAAGGCAACCTTCCTACTTCCCTGTGTTTAATGCAATGCACCTTCAATTCCTGGAGGTAGGGAACTATGAAGACATAAAGCTCAGAATTATGTCACCTTTTTCTTCCTGTTTTGAGTTGTTTCGCCCCCATATTCCATCCTTGTGCTAATTCACAGAGTGGTAAGAAGATTGAGGAACAAACATCATGAGTGATGGTAACATTCCTAGCATATTTCACTTCTTTCGCCAATTCTGTGGGTGAAGGTTGGAACATAGAGAGTAGTATGCAGAGGCAGCATTTGCAGGTAAGACCACTGCTTGCTGGTGGGGCTGATCATTGGTCTGGAGTTTTGGTCCTCCCTGTGGAAACGGATGGCTGCGGGCTTATGTGGGAAAATGAACAGATCTGTTTTTCATCCCGGCAATGGGGTGATTTATCCATTGAGACTCCCTACAGGCCATCAGGTTTCTCTGCTTTGCAGCAAGCAGACAAGCTTGAAAATGCAATTCCATGAGAAATGTTTTATTCCTTTTTGGCATTTGGGAGCATGTTTGCTTTTGCTTAAAGGAAGGGAGTTAGCATCATCTTACCCGGCACAGTTATAAAAGCAGAATGTGGCTGGAAGAAGTCAGAGGAGTCAGAAATTAAAAAAAAAGTTATATCCAAGATAGCACATAGCTCCATTTGCTGTTTAACTTTCTGAGGTTTTTGCTGGTGACACAGATGTAGGATCTGTGAGTCACTGTCACCTTGTCTGTGAAATATTAAAGAGAGCCACCTACTGTGCTCTTTGCCCATTTTGGAAGTTGTTCTGTGGGAGAAATAAAAACCCCAAAGAACAGGAAGGTTACAGAACATTTGGCAGAACAAATATCAGTATTTTAGCTACTGTTGCTAAATTCTCTTTTTTTTCCTTTTTTGAAAATGAGAATGCATGGTTTACCCTGGTGGGGTCGTTAGAAGACCATCTTCTAGCTGACTTTATTCTGAGTAGCTCTAGTAGCTGTGACAGTGTGGACTTCTAGAGTCTGACAGGTACCCGAGGCAAGTTATTATAGAATTGGGATGAACCTCAGTTTCCTAGCTAGGAAACAGGAGCACTGAAGCCTACTTAGAAGCTTCAGTGCCCATGTCAGCACCTTATTCATGGGAAGCATTGAATAAACACAGGTTCGTTCTCCTGCCATCAACTCCTTTAACTTATTTGTCAGTTAAATTGTGAAAATCAAAGTTCAATAGCTACCCTTTACTGAACTCTGTCATAGTTTATACTGAGTGTTTAATATATATAATCTCATTCATTCTTTGCAATAATCCTCTGTACAAGTACTACTTCATTTTAGAGCTGAGAAAGACCTAAACTTGTGCAGCCTCTGATCTAGAACTGAGGACCTGGGTGAAGACTGATGACCTCCTCCCACCCCCATCCCAATCCTGCCGAAAACATGAGGGAGCTGGATTAGATCATCTCTACAGGTCTTCTGCTATGATTTTTAAAAACCATTATTTTTAAAAGATATCTCTCAAGTCTGAAATTCTATTACCGTATCTTTTTGTAAAAGTCAAGGCTAAAAGGGGAAAGAAGAATAAAATGAAAAAGCCCTTATTGTTTTACCCCAAGAGATCTATTTTCCTGTCAAAAGAGGAGGGCAAGGGAAATCAGCATTCATTGGTGCACGCACTTCTGTCATTTCATTTAAGCATAAAAATGACTCCCATACACACACACACACACATATACACACACACACACACACACACACACTGCCTTTTACACGTGAAAGAACTAAGATTCAGACAGATGTATAGACCTGCCCAAGGTTAAGGTTACCCAATTGGTAAGAATCAGAACCAGTGTGTTCCTGAGCACAAAGCCTTTGGTCTGCTATACCACATTTACTATGCATAACACCATACAATCTGAGGACTTATCCAACTAGATTCAGAAATGTCCCTTTCTGCATCCTTATATCACACTCCTCTGCTGTTCTCTCCTTTGCCACTGTTTCATTCCCAAACGTGCTGGTAAAATTCTTTCTTGGTTTTTCCTGGTCCATGGAACCTTACAACATTTTCTATCTCTATTATGATTTTTTTTCACTATGGGCCAGTAATATGCCCCTTGTGTTCTTCTCTAACTCTCTGATGCTTACCTAAGTCACCAAGGGCGT